TTGGGGTTTAGGGTTCAGGATTTGGGGTTTGGGGTTTGGGTTTGGGATTTGGGGTTTAGGATTTGGGATTTGGGATTTGGGGTTCAGGATTTGGGATTTGGGGTTCAGGATTTGGGATTTGGGGTTTGGGTTTGGGGTTCAGGTTCAGGATTTGGGATTTGGGATTTGGGATTTGGGATTTGGGGTTCAGGTTTTGGGGTTTGGGATTTGGGGTTCAGGTTTTGGGTTTGGGGTTCAGGGTTTGGGATTTGGGGTTCAGGATTTGGGATTTGGGATTTGGGGTTCAGGTTTTGGGGTTTGGGTTTGGGGTTTGGGGTTCAGGTTTTGGGTTTGGGGTTCAGGTTTTGGGGTTTGGGGTTCAGGATTTGGGATTTGGGGTTCAGGATTTGGGTTTGGGTTTGGGGTTTGGGGTTCAGGATTTGGGGTTTGGGGTTCAGGTTCAGGTTTGGGATTTGGGGTTCAGGATTTGGGGTTCAGGTTCAGGATTTGGGATTTGGGATTTGGGATTGGGATACATCCACTCGAAGAGCATCATGAAGGAGGTTTTGGCGTTGAAGGCGAAGGCGATGCCGCGCAGGTCCCGCACCAGCCCCACCAGCGTGCGCTGAGGGAGAGACCCCAAAATCCAGAGTGACCCCAAAATCCAGAGAGACCCCAAAATCCAGAGTGACCAAAAAATCCCAGAGTGACCCCAAAATCCAGTGACCCCAAAATCCAGAGAGACCCCAAAATCCAGTGACCCAAAATCCAGAGTGACCCCAAAATCCAGAGAGACCCCAAAATCCAGAGACCCCAAAATCCAGTGACCCCAAAATCCAGAGTGACCCCAAAATCCAGAGAGACCCAAAATCCAGTGACCCCAAAATCCAGTGACCCCAAATCCAGAGAGACCCCAAAATCCAGAGAGACCCCAAAATCCAGAGACCCCAAAATCCAGTGACCCAAAATCCAGAGTGACCCCAAAATCCAGAGAGACCCCAAAATCCAGAGACCCCAAAATCCAGAGAGACCCCAAAATCCAGAGTGACCCCAAAATCCAGAGTGACACCAAAATCCAGAGAGACCCAAAATCCAGAGTGACCCAAAATCCAGAGAGACCCCAAAA